TATAAATTTCATCAAAATCGGACGACTATATTATATAGCTCCCATAGAAATAATATAAATATATAAAATATCTATTTAATAATTGAGTTGCAAATCATCATAGCTTCAATGTTTTTAAACATATCTTAATTTTAATGTTTTCATTCTTGCAATAGCTGCAAGGGTATATGGACTTCGAAGTTTGCCGAAGTTTGCCGAAGTTTGCTTTCTTTCTTGTTTTTTTTTAATTCTTCGACAAATATTAATGCTTTAATATTTTTGTACGTTTTTTGTTGCAAATGCATCGAAAGACACTAAGCTTAACTGGATCCAATACTCCGTTCAAAAGTCATTCCAAAATACTTTTTTTGGTTTATTTAAAAATTAAATTTTACCCGTAGTCGATTTGGCCATGTCCGTCTGTATGTTCGTCTGTAGATCTCGGAGACTATAAAAGCTAGAGATTTGGGATGCAAATTCTACGCAGAGCCGTCGCTCTGTCGCTGCAGTAGAGAACCAGAAAAAAGAAGCACGCACTTAACTTCTAGTGTTGGCTATGCAGTGCGACAGATGGTGCCACCTAAACTTCGTTTTGTATGGGAAACACTTAGTTTGAAGTTTATTGGCTAACAGGTGGCTAACAGTCGGGAAACTCGACTCTACCGTTCTCTCTTGTTTGAGTCTCGGCTTATTGGTATCAAAACGTTTTATGTCGAAGTATATGAGGAAGTCTTAAAAATAAATTGTATATTTTTATAAAATTAATAAAGTTGTTAACAATAAAAAACGGTAAACTGCTTTTTTTAAATGGTAAGAATAAACAACAACCCTTGCAACGTACCGAAAGCTATATATTAATTTTAAGAAAAAGTTCATTTACTTAGGAACATTTTTGAAAGGAGTATAATCACATTCAAAATAAAAAAAATTATATGTAAAGTATTTTTAAAATTTAATACTTATAGCTAAAATTAAAAACAAATTAATGTCTTAAAAAGATATTGTTTCCTTACCATACAATTTGTATAAGTCTATCATATTCATTTTGAGTTAATAGGACTTTTTAAGCATTTTTGCGATCGCAGAAAATTAAAAAAGTTTTTAACAATAAAAAACGGTAAATTGTTTTTTTAAAATTCTAAGAACAAACAAAAACCCTTGAAACGTACCAACAGCTATATATTAATTAAAAAATAAAGTTAATTTACTTAGGAACATTTTTGAAAGTAGTATAATCACATTCAAAATATAAAAAATAATTTGAAAAATATTTTTAAAATTTAATACCTATAGCTAAAATTAAAAAAAAAGTATGTCTTAAAAACATATTGTTTCTTTATCATACAATTTGTATTAGTCTATCACATTTATGTTGAGTTAATAGGACTTTTTAAGCATTGCTGCGATCTCAGAAATGAGAAATATCTAACTATTGTCAAATGTGAACTGCTAAATTATTAAACTGCTTCAAAGATCAAAACTCTAATTAAACAGCTTCCCAGCCGAACGTGATTTCATGTGGGGAGCCACTCTATATAGAAATCTATCTGGAATCAATCAGATTCGGGGATGCATCCCCAAATCTGGTCTGGAATAAGATTCAGGCAACTTTTTTTTCCTTCACGGAATATTTGTTTGGTTGTGTGTGTGTTATTTTTCGTATGATCGGTTTGCTGCTTGCACGGGACACAAACAAAATTAATTACAAAGGTTTAATAAAGTTTTAATATTTCAAAGTAGTATAATTTATAGTGCCGTACTACTCTATATTTATTGTATTATTAATTAAGTTGTATTTAAAGGCCATTTATTTTACAAGTTTCGACCTATCGATATCTTGTAATCGAAGTCAAAAACTGGACCGAAAGCTAATAAATATAAATGGTAAGTAAACGTAAATTTTTAAAACACATAACTGGAAGTAGTTTTTAAATGTTTTTAAATGGTTTTATAAAATAATGTCTTTGGTCGTATTCAGCAGAACAACATGATCACTTATCAATGATGGATTTCTTACGATAGTTCTGTTGAACGCAAAAGATCACTGATCATGTTGCCAAAATTCCATCATGATCAGCAAAAAAGGAGCGTAAAAATAGTACGCCACCCTTTATAAACAGAAAAATCAGGATGTAAACAAAACAAAACAAACAAGGAAAAAATCAAACTTGTATATTGTAAAAATTGTATACCCCTGCAGATATAACAATTATTTAATGTGTTTTTTATGTCAACAGAGGTACAGACTTACCAAATCAATTGTAGAATATATCACTTAATCACTTCCCATCTTTTATGACGATATTTTGCTTTCACTCACAATAAAAATAATACGGTTTTTAAACTTGGCTTATTCGTTCAACATCTGTCGATACCGAATAAGCTTTCCAACCTTTCAAACTTTCTACGGTAACTAGATGTCAGATTTTTGTTGAGTTAAAATTAATATATTTAAAATTCCAGTTTTTTTTTCATAGGAGCTATATGACATAGTCTTCCGACTTGAATCAAATTTAAACCGTAGTTCTTTAAAACAGCTAAGTCATAATTTTTTTCCGATTGTTCCTATGGCAGCTATATGCTATAGTCGTCCGATCCGGCTCGTTCCGACTTATGAACTTCCAGCAATAGAAAGAAAACTTTTTGGAAGGTTTTCGAAAATAGCTTGAAAACTGAGCGTAGAAACGGACGGACACACGGACAGGACTAGATCGACTCTCCTAGTGAAGCTGATCCAGAATATACATATATACTTAGAGATTCAAAGATGTCTACTTCACTGCGTTGCAAACTTCTGACTAAAAGGGTATATAAAAAAGTTTTCCAAAAACTTTGATCTAAATTAAATTTTGAACACGTCCTTTATACGGTATATACTGGCGGATAAAAGTTTTATTTAAAAATATTTTTTTAATATTTTAACAGGCAATAATATGCCGATTTCTTATGTAAAAATGGTACCTCCGACTTTAAAGCCGAGGCAAAAATTAAATATCGCATATTTTAAAATTTAATTTCGCTCATCAGCACAATAAGTTAATATATTAAATAAATCAATTTAATTATTTTTTTTTATATCACTGTGAGTCCAGGCTTTACGCACCGCAAGACGCCACTTTTTTAAGAGACACCGTCCGACCGCCGCCACGGAGTACAAATAAATATTAAATGCCTACGTTTACCGTGTTAAAAACTGGAATATTTATATTCCCTCAGAAATGAGAAATGAATCGCAAAAATCAGTTTTTTTCAGCCTCGGAAACCATCCTGCCCCCTTAAGAAATATATAAAATTAATTTTTCTTGTGCAGTTATTTTTTTTTTTTTTTTTTGGTATAGCCAAAAGACTGTTTTTGTAATAATCAACTTGCCCTATTTTATTTTTTTTGTTTTTTCTATTTGTTGTAAAATAAGGTATCGATGACCAAATTGGTTGGGCAAAACTAGAGATATAAATGTAAAATCGGCATGAAAACAGGTGAAAAGCGTTATTTACACTTTAAAAAAAGATAGTGCCATACAATAAATTTTAAGTATAATTTTCCGAATCAGGGAGAGTCGGAAAATCAAGGTTTTATCTCTGGGGGGTTTTAACGATTTAAATTTGTAGGCCAGTGTTATAAGTTATATTCTGGATTCGATAGGAATGGGGTCTGAAGAAGCTGCAGAATTAAAAATAAAAATAAGAATACTAAAAAATTAGGAGAGTTGACATAAATATTGAATTATAGAACAAAAATCTCATAATATGCGATCGTTAGAATGGGCAGAGCCATTTCTGAAATAATCTTGATATGCGTTAGAATTAAGAGAATCTGCATTTAAAATCCCAAATCTTTAGCCCTTAAAGTTTCTAAGATCACGACTTTCAGACGATCAGGCGGATATGGCTAGATCGACTCGGCTATTGATCCTGATCAAGAATACTTGGCTGGAAACACTTCCTACTACCTGTTTCATACTTTTCAACGATTACAATATAATATAATAATATAATTTTCCTTCGCGCCTCTGCTGCTGGTCCCTTCCGAAAGCAATAATTGCCGGTTCGTTCAAAAAAAACTATAAGCTAAAAAGCTGTGAATCAACTCACAACTTTGGTTAAAGGATTATAGATTTTGACAACTCAATTTTCTTTCCCTTGAAGCATGCGCTTGAACTTATAACTTCTTTAGGACAGGCATTTCAAAAATACATTTTTTTTCTATTAGACAAATGAGTTTATTAATAAATGTATAACTTCAAAAATTGTAATAATTCAGTAATGACAAATCATTTTTCGTCACAAAATTTTAAACTAGAGACTTTCTATATTGAATGTACGAACATTAGTCGGAACGAGCCGGGTCGGACGACTAAATCACATAGCTCCCAATCGGAATACTACACAAAATAAATTTAAAACAAGTTTTGACTAATCTATTTAGCCTTTTTAATTTCTTTTGGATATAGCAATGGTTAAATAGTACAGAATTACGCTTTTAATTTTATGGAAATCGGAAAACTATATCATATGACTGCCATAGAAACGATCAAATAATTTAGGTCAAAATAATCATTGAAGCTATTTTAAACATATACACATATAAATCGAAATTAAGATGTTTTAAAAAATATTTCTTTTTTGCAATTGCTGCAAGGGTATTTAAACTTCGGCTTGCCGAAGTTTCCTTCCTTAAATTTCCGAGAGAAGGTTTTAAAATTTGTTTAAATACAACAAAAATTTTAAATTTTTTGAGTTTGGACAAGTTTTTTTGCTTCCCTCAGTTCGGTTTGTAATGTTTAATGCCGTGTTTGTTATTGATAAGCCGTCCATAGAAACACCAAAAAGAAAGACGTATTTAAAACGCTGATAAGCTTACCAAGCAAAAAAGGCGAGCTCCAAGAACATTACAAGTACAAAGAGAGTCGCCAAAAGAACACTTCAATACAAATATGTGTGGGTAATATTTCCTGTTCCGACGATGGGAGAGTGAACATGTGCACACGAAATATAAATAAAATCGAAACTGCGGGAAATGAGAATTTAGTTGAATTTTAGCAAGCGACAAACGAGCTACAAACGTATTAAAGCAAACTAATTTAGTTTTGAAATGTTCTTATCTAAGCAACAGAAAAAACAAATCTTTAAAACGCCTGTAGAGTGCCGCAAATAAAACTGGAATAAGGCACAACAAAATTAACTAAATAGTGTTTGAAATGGTTCAAGGTCTGTGGACTGCCATTTTGCTGTTAAGTAGTGCCACCTTTGGCTGGAATTTTCCGGTAAAAAAAAATATTCTTGACAAAAGTTGTCCGTACCTTGGCAGTTGCAATTCTACGATCAATGAGCTTCATATTGACACGCTAATGGAATACGTGGACAGCGAAAAGAATCCATGCGATGACTTCTATGCTTATGCCTGCGGTAAATGGCGGGAAAAACATGAGGCCCACACAACGGCCACGACATTAAGCGAAACAGAGATAAATCGCCAGTATGAGGACCTCTTTAGCTACCTGTTAGGGAATCTAAGTGCCCCAGAGCATGGTTATCCCTTTTACAGCAAGGTACTGACCCACTTTCAGAACTGCACTGCCCTTGAAGGGCCCAATCTGAGGCGGTACATAGATCTTTTGGGCCAGGATCTGCTGTCCTCCCTGGGCTCCACGCACTGGATGAACGTGTTGGCTGTTTTGGGGCGGTACGGCTACCACGGGCACTATGTGCAGATGGAAGTGCGGTGGCACAACGCAAGTCACCACATGATCTTCCTGTTGCCGCACAATCGTGACGTGAATCTAAGCCTAACTTCGGAGATCTACAATGCCATAAGTCAGGTTGGCCCTTCCTGGCCCCCTCTCGATCAGCTGAAAGATCAGTTTGAAAATCTTGAGCAAAATTTGATCAGATTGGCAAAGTCACATTCAGCTGACGATACCTTCCGTAAATACAGCCTTGACCAGATTCGGAATGAAGTGACTGAACTGGAGTGGGACGAGGTGTTCAGAAAGCAGCTGGGCAGATCGATGGGAGCGGATCACGTATTCCAAGTGGACGACTTGCCTGCCATTAAAGGGCTCGTGGATTACCTAAACAAAACGGATACCCTGTTGCTCAACCGGTACAGCGTGGCGAGGTTTCTCAGCCATTTGCTGGAACTGCCGCACAACCCAGTGGCCAACTGGGTAAACGGTAGGAGGTCAAGGGGTATGGACTGCATCCGGCATATGCGTCGGTCTCTCTACCTTCCGATGAACTACGTTTACGAAAGGAGCTTTTATGCCCGCCGTCGAAGCGCCGACGAATTAGTCATACACAGTGTGTTTAAGCAGTTGCAGGAGCAGCTTGAGCTAAGGGTGCAAGGTAACGCCTTGAACTTGAGCCAGGAGTTGGTAAACAATCTGAAGGCAAAGGTGCACCACATGCGCATAAACGTGGGCAACCTGCCGCCCAACGTTTCTGAGCAGTTCTATTGGGCCAGCGACCAGCGGTGGAACGTGGGCCGCGACTTTTACGAAAACCACCTGAATAGCCTTTTGTACTACTACACCCTCGTTTCGGATCTTGAGGGCAGCACCAATCAAAAAGAGCGGAAAATCTGGTACAGCTTTAACATGCATACGCCCGAGTTCCCCGACAACATCGACGCTACGCCGTACTTTTATTGCCTTGGCAACATCATTTTTGTGCCGTACTCCTACGTAAAGCGACCCTTCTTCTACGCCGGCTTCTGGCCGGCCCTGCTCTATGGCGATCTGGCCAATACCCTGGGCCACGAGATGATGCACGCCTTCGACACGGACCTGGTGGACTACGATGCACAGGGCAACTTGAGAAATTTTAGCGACCAGCTCGGCCAGGTTGAGCTGTACAACAGTGCAGTCGGCTGCCTGAACACCAGCGCCGTGATGCTAAACGAGCGCACGTCTGACGTCAGCGGTTCCCGGCTGGCCTTGCAGACGTATGGAGGCGAATGGCTGTCCCGCCTGGACAACGGTCGGCTCTACTTCCTGCAGTTCGCACATTTCTTCTGCGGCGACAAGGGCGACCAGTACCACGACTCAGGCAGTCAGCGTCTCAACTACTCCCTCAGCCAGGTGCCACAATTCGCTGAGATTTTTGAGTGCCGAAATGGGACCGGCATGAGGTCTACGGACCAGTGCCCCTTCTGGTAGCGGATCCCAAAGATTCCTAGACTAAGTTGGTGTATAGCTTTTAAAACTGACCCCAAGTATTGTGAATAAATTTTTATGTTTAGCAAAACCTACCGCAGCTCCGCTCTCCTGATTGCATATCCGGCTCGCATTTGCCTGGCGCATTTTGTGAACTGATTTAGTTTTTGTTTACGTGCACAACGTAATCGACATCGGTAGGGAGCGTGCATGGTATGGAAATGTGAAAATCTGCAGACGTCATTAAATCTTTTTTCCCGTCCTACACTGAAACTAAAATGCGTGAGCTCTGAAGAAAACAACCTCGATGCAAACGCAAAGAACAAAAGGTCATTCAACCGTTCGCTTAAAAGTGTGTGCATTTTGCTTGCATTTGGTACGTATTTCCAGCATCTTTTCAACTATTTGCTAATTAACACTCTGCCTTCCTCTCAGAATCTCAGCAGCAGACGCACATCCAGAAAGAGAAGACGGCACCGAATACAAAATTCGATTTTAATTCCTATTTAGACTGCAAGCCTAAATGTTAAAGGTTATTGCGAAAACTACACATACGCCGCATGCCTCTAGATTAAAAGTCGCGAAAAAATTATATTTTTTTAAGATATTCAAAATAAAAATGATTTACGATGATTATCATCTTGCTTTTAAAGTTCACCTTTCTAACTCAATTTTGAGCAATTAAAGAAAATATTAATTTGTTTGTGTTTTTATACCCTTGCAGAGGGTATTATAATTTCAGTGAGAAGTTTGCAACGCAGTGAAGGAGACATTTCCGACCCTATAAGGTATATACATTCTTGATCAGCATTACTAGGATAGTAGCTCTAGCCATGTCCGTCCGTCTTCCTGTTGCAGGTAGTATATAAATCGAAACGAGCCAGATCGGACGACTATATTATCTATCTCCCATAGGAACAACCAAAAAAATAAGTGAAAAACATTTTGTCTTTGCAGTTCTTTATTTTTTTTTTTTTTAGTCTTTCAAAAGGTATTACAATTTTAATATCCAGAATATTTAGAAACATAACTAAAATAATTTAATATATATAATTTTTTTTTTAATTTTTTAATTGTTTCCAAAGTTGTACCTTGTACCGCCCTTAAAAAGTATATATGTACATTCTTGATCACTATGAGAGTCGAATATTTCCAAAAATTCTTTTGGACATAGGTGATTAATTGGCTTTGGATTTGTAAAAAAAATATTCTTAAGGCTGAGGAGCAAGAAATAGATTTTGACTGCTCTAACAGATGTATTGAAAATGATTATATTAATAAAACAAGTAAGGAAGCAAACTTCGGCAAGCCGAGGTTCAAATACCCTTGCAGATATTGCAAAAATTAAATATTCTTGAAAACATTAAAATTATCACTTATCATTAAGCTATGATTTGCAGCTCAATTATTCGATAGTTCATATGGCACCTATAAGATATCGTTTTCCGATTTGAATAAAATTAAAAGCGTAATTCTGAACTGTCAAATGATTGATAAGTCAAAGAGAATTTAAAAAAAAAATTAAAAATTAGAAAAGTTACCTATAAAAAAAAATTGTTTTTAAATGTTTTTATTGTTTCCATGGGAGCTTTATGTTAAAGTCGTCCGATTTTGATGAAATTTAAACCGTAATTCTTAAATATTTATTATACCCTTGCAGAGGGTATTATAATTTCAGTCAGAAGTTTGCAACGCAGTGAAGGAGACATCTCCGACCCTATAAGAGTATATATATTCTTGAACAGCATCACTAGCAGAGTCGATCTAGCCATGTAAGTCTGTCCGTCTGTCAGTCTGTCCGTCTGTCCGTCTGTCCGTCCGTCTGTCCGTCCGTCTGTCCGTCCGTCTGTCCGTCCGTTTCTACGCAAACTAGTCTCTCAGTTTTCAAAAGTTGTCTTTCTATTGCAGGTAGTATATAAGTCGGAACGAGCCGGATCGGACGACTATGGCATATAGCTCCCATAGGAACAATCGAAAAACAAATACATAAAAAATTATAACTTTGCTGTTTTTAAATTTTTCTTTTAGTTCTTCGACATATAGTAATGGATAAATATTTCAGAATTACGGTTTAAATTTCATCAAAATCGGACGAGTATATCATATAGCTCCCATAGAAATAATAAAAATATATAAAATAGCTATATAATAGTTGAGCTGCAAATCATCATAGCTTCAATGTTTTTAGACATATACGCAAGTAAATCATAATTTAAATGTTTTCAAAAGTATTTAATTCATGCAATAGCTGCAAGGGTATATGAACTTCGGCTTGCCGAAGTTTGCTTCCTTTCTTGTTTTTTTTAATCTTAGACATATAGTAATCGGTAATATTTCAGAATTCGGTTTAAATTTCATCAAAATCGGACGACAAGAGAGCAATAAAAATATAAAAAAAAATTTTTTTTATATGTAACTTTTCTATTTTGTAGTTTTTTTTAAAATTATTTTTGACTTATTAATAAATTGAGTGTTCAGAATTACGCTTTTAATTTGATTCAAATCGGAAAACTATATCATATAGGTGACATAGGAACGATCTAATAATTTAGCTGAAAATCATCATAGCTTCAATGTTGTAAAATATCTACGCATATACATCGAAATTTAGATGTTTTAACAAATATTTCGTTTTTGCAATAGTTGCAAGGATATATAAGCTTCGGCTTGCCGAATTTTGCTTCTTTTCTTTTTTGGATTTCTTGTATACAAAGTAAAAATACTTTAACGTTTAATAGTTAATAGTTTTAAGAATATCGCTTTTAATTTTTTAACTAACAGTCATATAATTCGAAAATTAAATGCTTTAAGGATTATTTAATTTTGGCAATAGCTGCGCGGGAATAAAAACTTACGATTTAAATTTGATCGAAATCGGACGACTTATCATAAAGGTTTCATGCGATGCGGAATATTACAAAAAATAGATGAACAAAATTTTCACTTCTCCATTATTCTTTTGGACTTAATAATTTGGATTTAATAATTCAGAATTATGCTTTTCATTTCATCAAAATCGGAATTCGACATTACATAGCCTGCATAGAAAAGATCGAATAGTTGAAATGGAAATCACAATAGCTAAAATGTTTTCTAACATATTCTTATATAATTCAAAATTAAGATCTTTTAAACGTTTTATTTTTTGCAATAGCTTCAAGGTATATGAACTTTGGCTTGCCAAAAAAATTACCTTTCGAATTGTACATTTTCTGTCCATAATGTTTCTACAGTCGCCAAAAAGCTGAAAAGATTATCTGAAAACTGCAGTACTGAGCTTGTACTGGTACTTTAAATGAGTTCAGCCGAGTTAGAATACATATGTACATGATAAGAGTAAACTAGATGCGTGTCTGAACGTATTCCTCCCACTGTCTTCTTTGCGCTCATCTATGGGCTTATCAGCTCAGGTTTTTATTCATTCATGTAAGTCTAATCGCTTGTGCGTTATAATTTGTTTTTTTTTTTTTTTTTTTTTTTTTCAAATAAATAGCTTTGGCAGCGAAACGCGCGAGGCCGAGTGACGAAATCGAAGCATCAAATTGCGCATGGTATGAGTCGTAAGCCAACGACAAGCTCGCCAGTTTGATTCGCAACGTAATACTTAACCGGCTGCGGTCAGTTTCTTAACCCCTGGACTACACCAGCTTAGTAGGGATTTGGTGTCTCTTGTCACGCGCTCTTGGTAGAACGAGTATGACGACTGCTCGCAGGTAATCGATTGATTACTAGACGAATGTGAAAAATTAGAAGACAGGCAGCGGTCTAATGAAATCATAAAGCTTCGATGCGTCATGCTAGACATTTTGAAATTAACAAATCTTCATTTCACTATTTTATTAAAATTATTTCATAAGCTAACAAATGTATGTCAAGGTTGTAAAAAGATATAAATTGATCGTTCTTAATAATTTTTTTTTGTTTGACCATTTAGTATTATTGCAAGCTTCGGCTTATCGAAAAAAAAATACTTTTAAAATGGAACTTTTTTTGTCCATACTTTTTGTACAGTCGCTGAGAAGCTAAAGATATTATCAGAAGACTGCAGTAGTGAGCTTGTCTGGTACTTTTAATGAGCTCAACCGACTTAGATTACGTACATGCTAAGAGTAAACGAGATGCATGTCTGAACGTATTCCTCCCACTGTCACCTTTGCGCTCATCTATGGTTTTATCAGCTCAGTTTTTCATTCATTCATGTAAGTCTAATCGCTTGTGCTTGTCGAAACGCGCGAAGCCGAGTGACGAAATCGAAGCATCAAATTGCGGATGGTGTGAGTCGTAAGCCAACGACAAGCTCGTTAGTTTTGATCAGCACCGCAATACTTAACCGGCTGAGGTCCCTATCTTGGACTACACCGGCTGGAAGGGATTTGGTGTCCAGGTCACGTGCTCTTGGTAGTACGAGTTTGACGACTGCTCGCAGGTAATCGATTGATTACTAGACGAATGTGGGAAATCGAAAGACAGGCAGAGGTCTGATGAAATGATAAAGCTTTGATGCGTCATGTATAACCGTGTAAGGCTTTTTGAAATCATTAAATCTTCATTTCACTATTTATTACATTTACTTCATAAGCTTACAAATTTCTGTTAAGATTGAAAAACCTTAATTCTTATCTCGCCCCCGACCAGGTATGAGTTTTTTTTACGATTTGCTCTGTCTCACATCTTAATGCGAGTACGTTTTTATTAACCAAAACTAAAGGGTCGAACACATCCCGCATAGATTTTCAAAACTTAATTCTATCATTTTTATACCCGTTAGGATTTATTTTATTAGTTGAAAGTATTTTACAGGTATAAGAAAGGGTTTTATTGACCGAGTTTCAAATATTGAAATACTTCAGCGCTACCAATCAAAAATCTTGCGACAAATTGTTAACGCTCCATATTATGTATTATGATTATGCAGATAATCATAAACATCTAAATATTCTAACTGTAAAAGAGATAAACAAATATAGTAAGAAATATACAGACAGACTTCACAATCATGTAAATAATTTAGCCCTAGGTCTAGTAGACAATAGCTTAACATTCAGAAGACTCAAAAGATTCCACATTCTTAATCTCCCTGATAGGTAAATTTAAG